AAGCGCTGTATAAGGTTCCTGTTATTGATGTTTGGGTGGTTCCTGTCACTTTCTCGTCATCCCTGACGTGCTCTCCGTTGTTTTTTCCTGCTAATTTTAGCAGCCAGCTTCTGTATCACGTGGTATAAGGCTCCGCCCTTGTCATTTGTTGAGCAGGAAGAGTGAGCGCTTGTTTTCATGCAGATTACGTCCCGGATCAAAACGTGGTACAATTGTCGTCTTTTTTTTCTTTTTTTTTTTAAATCGTTGTCGTCGCACATAAGTATGAATTGAGATCGCGATTTTCTAACGATTAATCATGCAGCCCTAGTGAGAATCCAATAATCCGAACAAACTAGCAAGTCTACCTCTGAAAAGCTCAGAAAGTGGCCCACTCAGGTTCAGACTTAAATCAAATTGAGATGCTTTGGTTTGACCTTAAACTGGTGTTCATGCCGAAAAAGCCCTCCAATGAAGAGAGACAACATCCTCCCACAGCCAAGTGAAAAGACTAATTGCCTCAGACCTGATTGCAGTTCTTGCTGCTGAGGATGGCACAACCAATGTTTAGGTTTCAGGTGCTTTTTCCTCCGTTAATAAATCAAATTATTATTTAAAAACTGCATTTTGGATTTACTTATATTATCTTTGTCTAATATTAAAATTTCTTTGATGATCTGAAACAAAAGAGTAATCAGGAAGAGGCCACATACACGTACGTACACTTTAAAGAGGAAAGACAGTTTACTTACATATCTCTTTCTGATGACGTTGCGTTTGGGTCTGTCTGTACTCATGTTGCTCAGCAGGAAGTCTCTGTGTTTTGCCTGTGCTATGTTCTCACTGCAGGTGCTGGAATAAACATTCGTCTGCTTCTTTCTAGATGAGAAGAATTACGAAATGCTGCAATTAAAAAAAGCCACTGGACAGGGCTGCAGTAGAGAGTCACACTATTCAATATGACTTCAAGTAATTTTAAAATCAGTCCATTATGTGGCACAGAGTCACTCATGGTGTGCAAAACCACCAGTTAGTCAAGAAACAGTCGTCTAAAGGAGCAGTGAATCTCACTGGAGACACAGCAGCACTGCGTCTATCTGATGACACAGGTGAGCCAGCAGAAGCTGATCACTCTTCAGTACCTGAGGGGAAAAGATTTAATTAGGATAAATTAGACAGCCTGGTTCAAATACAACTCCAGGCGCAGATTGCGTGGAATAAGACATGCAACTGCCACGGAAACAGACAATTCTTCAATAGACATGAAGTTGTGCTGAGATCTAGACTTGTAGTCCTAAACCAAGACAAAGACAATACCAAGACCAGAGGCATCAAGACCGAGACAAAGTCGAGACGAGACCGAGACCGAGACAAAAAAGTCTTTAAACTGCAGCCAGATGCTGCTTCGTTTACAGGTGTCAGGCATATTTATTAGGGGTGCAACGATACACAAAATTCACAGTTCGGTACTTTGGTGTCACGGTTC